ATGAAGTGATGAGATTCAGGTGATTGCAATGGGTGCTGGGTTCGGGCAAAGGATTATGGGAAATCGGGTCTGGGGTGAATGGCAAAGGTGCAGGATGGAGTGCCCTCTAGTTGAGCTTGTGGGCACTGCAGCTGGCAATCGTAACAATAAGAGACTTCTTTTTTTACCCCGCTTTGCATGTTTTTAGTATACTTAAAACAAGAAAAAAATGCAAATAGAGTGAGAAAACTTGAAACATGATATGAGTGATGTGAACTTAGGTCTTATCTGATGATCTTATGATGTGAACTTAGGAATTATCATCATTTATCTCTTTTACTGACCCTTTCAAACTCAAGTTTTTGCTGTGTTTACTGATATCAAATGCACCTGCCGGAGACCAGAGAGTGTGTTTACCATCTGCATGTACCAGCCAGGTGGAGCACAGACATTGACTACAGCTCTGTTTACCATTGTGGAGACAACACGGGGATTCATTTGTCTATTTAGCATTGCAAGCTATTGTTAGAGGGATGAGTAATTGTTGTAGAGCACGTACAGAAAAGGAAAGACAATATCCCTCTCTTTATAATCAAGTGGTGAGCATCCTATATTGTGACTTGCCATGTCAACAACAGTTTTTTTCTATTTAAAAAACAGGAAGGGGGCCAACACTTTTTCACACCACTGTATATATATATATATTTTTTTTTTTTGTATTGCTTTCTGCCTCGTTCTCACTATATCTGTTGTCTTCCTCCCTAGTAAACCCCGGCTAAGCAGGCATCCCAATAACAATCAGAGGGTGGGCAACCCAACTGCCATGGCTCATGTAAAACCACAACAGTTGCCAGGCAACACTGTTCCCTCCACAGCAGGAGCAGGAGTCCAATAGAATATTAATGATTCTGAGCACAAACACACTGGACTGCTGGTGTCTGCTAGATACTTTACTATGGTTAATTACGCAAGAAAGTGACTGCAAAAACACACAGAATTTAACAGTTCATCTGGGCTAAAAAAGAGGCTAATGGAAGCTCAAACTCAGGCCCAATCTGGAGCCTGAGGATGACTGTGATTGGACCCTTGTGGATCTGTTCAGTATCCCCTTTAAATTTATAAGTGGCTCCTATCGGTCAATGTCCATGTATGGTTTGTGTTTGACATCCTAATTTATCTTGCTGGTTGTTCATACATCAGCAGTGATAATAATTTAAGAAGTATTCTGTTGGCAGTTTTCCCTTGAACTCAACCCTGGTCTTTAAGACCCAAGTAACAGCTAATAGACACAATGATTATTTATTTCCCCTTATGGTCTTTGGTACGTAAACATGTTCAAATTCCATGATATTTTTCCATATGTCTTCATTTTATTTAGGTTTTTACTAAAAATGGAAAATTCTGTCATTATTTATGCCATCTCATGTCATTCCAATCTTGTTTGACTGTGGAATGCAAAATAAGATATTTTATATAATTTTTTATGTTTATTCCCCATAATGAAAGTCAATGGGGTCCAAAACAACATGACTGAACATGAAAAACACTGAGACCTTATCAAAAAGAGGGGTATTGTAGCAATGCAATGGAAGAACCATTTTTGGTTTCCTAAAGAACCTTTGAACAGTTCTTTAAAAGTTTGAAGTACATTTTAGTAATCTAAAGAAACTTTTTCCATTATAAAGAACCTTTTGTTCAATGGAAAGGTTCCATGGATTTTAAAGGTTCTTCATGTCAATTAAAACCTTTATTTTGAAGAGTGCATTCTATCTCCTCCTTTCAGTTATAATCAACATAGACTGAACAATCCTTAAATGAGAAGCATAATCTAGGTTTTATTAAATCTTTGTGCATTTGGGATGTTCTAGAATCTAGATAATGGGAGATTGATTTATTGATTTATTGATTTATTTAATGATAGGTTTATCATTAAACCTACTGTGATCACCTTTGTTCTCTGGCACTGAGATTTATGGAACAGTTCAAAAGCTCCCAATGGAGAGTGAATCTGAGAGTGAGAAAAGAATGACAGAAAGAGATCCTGGTGCCGTTTTGCAGGTTTTCAATGTCAATGGGTATTGCAAGAACATGAATTTAGCCAACACACTCTCATCCAAATGGACACAATAACCTTCCAAATCAACCCGAGTAATGCTATTAATTTAGACAAACTAAAACAGAACATGCCAGCAGTGAAGACAAGCTCAGTATCAGTAGAGCTAAAATATCAGTATCAGATATCAGTAAGAGCTAAGCAAATTAATCACTACGGGTAATTCTGGGAAGTTGTGGAATTATTTATTTACTGGCATTTTTAAGTAGCATGTTGATGCATTCAGAGACTTTTATTCATGGGAAGTTGTTTTCAGGGACATTTGTTATGAGACAAAAGGAGAAAGGCAAGTAATTAAAGGCCGGACTAATGCAATTACATATTCAAGAGTGCAATTACAAACCTGCAGGAACATCAGTGTCAGCCTGTCGCCTACTCTCCTGGGTTTTCATGGAAGAGAATTACGCTTACTCTCTTGCATAAGAAATTATTACTTGATGTTTGTTACAAGTGTCTTTTACTAGCATATTGTGTATTTACTATTTAAAGGCTCTAATATCGTTTATTGCTCTGGGTAATTTTTCATAAATAACTCTTTACAATAACACTTTATAATAAGATTCCATTCGTTAAAATGAACAAACAATGCACATTTAATCTGAACCATTTATTAATCTTAGTTAATTTTATTAATACATTATTTAAATCAAAAGTTGTGTCTGTTGATATTATTTAATGGACTTGAGCTAACATGGACTAACAATGATCAGTTGCATTTTTATTACCATTAACAAATGTATTGCTCATTGTTGGTTAATGTAACACTTTATTTTAAGGACCAATTCTCACTAGTTGCTTATTAGCATGCATACTATTAGCATATTGGCTGTGTATTAGTTTATTAGCTGTTTATTAGTATAAAGCACATATTAATGCCATATTACAGTTTTTCTGAATTGCTAAAACACTAAACTCCATTCTCTGAACCAAATTCTCACTAGCTTAAACCAATTTGTCGAATAAAGCACTCTTTCTGCTAAACCTTAAACACGTTCAGGCAGTTAGGCTCTATTTGCAAATCTCATGCACACTTTTTTGCAAAACTCTAAACACATTCTCATCCACGTAAACGCTTATCACACTGTGATGCATTTGAGCTGCAAAATGCTAAACACAAGCGGCAAAAGTTAAACACAACTAAAGCACAGTTGTCATTGTTTACACAAAACGATTCAAAATTGTTCATACTTGTTTCTAATGATGTGATCAAACCAACTGTACAACATATGAGCCAGTTCAGAGTGCACAAGTGGCACAGATGACTGAATGATGATACACTCTAAAAAATGCTGGGTTGTTTCAACCCAATGTTGGGTCAAATATGGACTAACCCAACTGTTGGGTTAAATTTTGGTTACATTTTTAAATGAGCTTTTTAACCCAACAGTTGGGTTAGTCCATATTTGACCCAACATTGGGTTGAAACAACCCAGCATTTCTTAGAGTGTACAAACAATAGATGGAAACAAGCTGAGAAGGAGAGGAGGAAGAGGAAGAAGTGGAGGATGAGGAGAGAAAGAGTAAGGTTTAGAGAGTGTTATCAAGGCTGGATCTGTCAGACCAGAGGGTTTTTCTCTTTGTCTAGCAAAAAAGACAACATTACTTGTGATGTGGACAAAGTCCTCAGGCCGGACTCAAGCACAAAGACATGATGCTGAGACAGAATGCATCTCTCATTGACCCTGATTTTACAATTGCTTGATTTTACCTGATTTTACAATTGCTTCAAGTATTTGAGTGTACTGTAACAAGATATTCATTTAGAGTTTTATTTGACCTTTTTGGCCTTTGCAGTTGGACTGCAGTATCAGTATATTGCCTATACAATATATTCACCTTACTCAGTTGCAATTACTATAATTTTTTTACAGAATTGCAAAATTGTTTACTCAATACAATATACTTTTTCTGTAATGTTCTGGATGCTGTGTTCTCTATTTTTCTCTGTAGTGTCTAATGAATGGTCTGTAGTGTTTATTTTATTGACTCGTGTGTGTGATCTGAGAGCACTGTTTGATTTTGAGTGCAAGTGAAAGGGTTTTGCAGTGATTGTTTGATTTTGATTGAAGAGTCAGAGGTTTCGTGAATTTAGTTTGAGTATTTGGATTTGTGTTTAAGGTTTTGAGAAAATGAGTGATGGTTTCAAGAAATGTGTTTTAGCAATTCAGAAAAACTGTAATTCTGCATGTATTTTAGATCCCTTAATCTTACCCCATACCTAAACTTAACAACTACCTTACTAACTATTAATAAGCAGCAAACCGGGGGTTTATTGAAGGAAAACTCTTAATTAATATGTGTTCCCTATTCTAAAGTGTTACTGTTAACGTTAGTCAATACATTAATGTTAATAGAACCTTATTGTAACCAAAACATACAGATTTAAATGATAAAACTGTTAATTAAAAAAAAAACTGTTACATGAAATGAAACCCTTCTCCTGCAGTTGCCTCATGCTTGCCAGAAAATTAAGATGTTTACTCTGTGTTTTGGAACATGATAGGTGGTTTAGCTGTTAAAAGCTGGTCATTAGCCGGTTAAGTAGCTATCATGTTCTAAAATACATCTACCAGTATAAGCTCAAATAGATAGATAGATAGATAGATAGATAGATAGATAGATAGATAGATAGATAGATAGATAGATAGATAGATAGATAGATAGATAGATGTGTAATTATTTTATGAAATACTATGTTAGTAGTTAGTAATATACTCAGCTAAAACATTTTTTAAAATAAGATAGAATGTAAATCAAAACGAGAGCACTAAAAAATGGACCTCTTCACGGATGCTTCGTCTATGCGGACGCAGACTCAAGTGCTCCAGTAGGAGCCGTTGATTTTGTGTGTGTGTGTGTGTGTGTGTGCAGGTCTGCTCATGCGCCCATGAAGAGATGCTGCTGCTGCTGCTGCTGCTGATCAGAGGTGTGTGCGCTGCGGCTGGCTTATTTACACCCGTTCAGTCACACTGCATCATAGAAAAGCTCTGGCGCTCCTTAGGAAATGGACTTTCTAAAGGGATTAATGTGTCTCTATGGTGATACATCTCAAGGTTAGTACTGAGATATGGCGTTCAGTCTATTTCTTTACGTAATATTATCCTTGCCTGTGTTAAGCTCTATCGGTGCGTCTGCCATCATTTGTCGCTCTGCGCTCGTGCTGAAAACGTTTTATTTTCAGTCTCTCTGAAGACTGCACGTCTACACCTCTTCCTCGTCTTTCCGTTTTTCTTTTCTTTAAATGGGAAAGACGTGTCACACTGCTGTGATGTGAAATTGATTAAAAGAGACAATGTTTTACGTTGAAATTACATTTTTAGGCACAACAGTATGCAGGTAATATATTTATGCGTTTTTTGGGACTGTGTAATTTTTATCCCATCATGGATTACTGCATACAAACGGTAAATGGTGCAATGCTACACCATGCTGAGTCCGTAGAGGCCATAACACTTACAAATTAGCTTTTTTCATTGGCATGATAAATGCAAACACACAAAAATACATAGATAAATAAAATTATAAATAAAACATTTATTGTTGTTGTACATTTAGGTACCGCCATGTGGGCCACGTTCTCCTAACTGAATGAATAGGTCAGAGCTTGTTTGTAAACCTATGCGCATGCATAAGGTTGTGCGCGTTGAGCGCGCGCTTGTCCAGACAATACTGTTTTCCCATTCATTCATGTTACCTTAACCCGTTCAAACCCGAATTATGTTCCAATGAACACAAAACATGACCGTGCTTTATTTCTACTTTAAAACCTTGTTCCACGATGGTTTGTAGTTGATGGTCATTTTTTGGCGCAAGCTAGCTCGTTGACCAGCTACCATGTAGACAATAGTTTGAAAACCATTTGACCAGATGCTGGTTTGTTGCTGAAGACGCTCTGCCTGCTTTTACCAGCTAGCATGTTCTAAAATGCTATTCAATTCAATTCAAGTTTATTTGTACAGCGCTTTTCACGATACAAATCGCTGCAAAGCAACTTTACGGCAAATTAAGTTTCTACAATATTTAGTGGTAGGCTAGCTTATCAGTCATGACTGTCAGTTAATGTACATTTGGCAGAAATGTACGGAAAAATCAATTTAAGAAGTAATCAAACAGACGATGAACACTATTAACAGCAATTATTATATGATGCAATCAAACTTATAGCAAATGTGGTAGTTCTGTATGTTAACTATAAAACAGTTTTTACCAACCATAAACTCAAAAAAAGTGTGATGTTTTTAATGATTGTACATGGTTCTGAAGGATTCAGGTTAGCCTATATTTTATTTAATCAGTGTAAGATGAACTAATGATTATAATTTATATAGCCAAGTATGTACACTTACAGGGACGGTCCCTTGGATCATCCTCTCAAACCTGCACTCTTTTGGCGACCAGCTCAGTTTTCTTCTTCTTCACAGTGCCACAACTCCTACAACTTTGGCATGTTTTCAGACAGACATAAAAGTTGAATATCAATACATAAGCAATGTAGTGCAATAGATGTGTTATTTTTACAGGCAAATGGCCATGAAAACAAAATATTAATTTAGTAACTTTGATCAGGCATGGTTTGCAGATAATCTGACTCAATTTAAATATAACTAAAATTTAAATATAATAGTTAGAATTATGTCATAAATTTCTGCCCTGTCACAGGCTACAGTTTCAAAACAAAAATATTTTGTCAAAAAGCAGCAATGAATTAGGTTTACTTTGTATCATTCTAAAAATTATGTGATTTGATTACTAAATGACAAAAAAAAGGACAGTGGGTCTAAACAGGTTAACAATTTGAGGCAATTTGTTTCTAATTTTTTTTTTAAAAAGTACATAAAGCATAAATCACTTTTGTTTCTTTTTGTCTTGTAGCTCTAAATTTGTGTCATCAGTCCCACAAGCTGTTCCTCCAAACAGTGTGGAAAGGATTTACACAGCCACATTACTGAAGAGGATTCTATGACTTATGCTACATCTCCATTTTAACTGCGTGTCAGAAATGCCCCCTTCCATAAAGTGGTGCATTAGGTGGGCTGTCTGCTTGTCCTTTATTCTTGCACTGATCCCCAGGTCCAGAGGATCGACGCTGAATTGTCACAAAATGTGCATATGCGCCAGCAACATCGTCAGCTGCTCCAAGATGAACTTGACGATGGTTCCATCTGACTTGCCCGACTACACAGCTGTGCTTGACATTAGTTTTAATGAGATAACCGGACTTCGCGCACAATGGACCAAGCACAAACTTCCCAACCTCCACAACCTCTTGCTCAGCCACAACGGTTTGTCGTTCATCTCTTCTGAGGCGTTCATTTTTGTAAAGCAATTGCGATACTTGGATCTGTCATCAAATAACCTGCGACAGCTGGACGAGTTTATTTTCGAGCCACTGATACATCTGGAGGTTCTTCTGCTCTACAACAACCACATCTCGCAGATCGACCGCACAGCCTTCTCAGGCCTCAACAACCTGCAGAAGCTCTACCTGAGCCAGAACCAGGTGTCCCGCTTCCCCCTGGAGCTCCTCAAGGACAAGAACCGACTGGACAAGCTGAGCCTGTTGGACTTGTCTTCCAATCGGATCAAAGTTCTCCCCATTCAAGACCTCCAGGCACTGCCGGCCTGGATCAAGAATGGGCTGTACTTCCACAACAACACCCTCATCTGCGACTGCGAGCTGTACAGTTTGATGACTCATTGGTATATCCGACGGCTCAATTCAGCTGTGGACTTCAAGGATGACCACACCTGCGTGCATCCCGGCCCAGATAAACGGGTGCTGCGTTTGTACGATCTCAACACTCTTATGAACTGCAGCACGTTTAAAGAAACTGACCAAGAAGCTTATTTGGAACAGAAGCTCACCCTCAGCTGTGATACCAGACATCGGAACATGTCCAAGACTTGGATGCTACCTGGAAACATAGCAGTGCCTCCTTACGATAACCAGAGCATTGTGCCTCTGAAAGATGGCAACCTTGAGATAAAATCGATACGACCTGAGGACTCAGGTTTGTACACTTGCTTTGCCGTGAGTGAATACCTCAACGAAACGCTCTATGTGGTGGTCAAAGTCCACAACTTCACCCTCAACGGCAACAGCGATACCCTCAACACCGCTTACACCACTTTGGTGGGCTGCTTGGCCAGCGTGGTCCTGGTTCTTATCTATCTGTACCTGACGCCCTGTCGCTGCTTCTGCTGTCCCGACCAGGGCAAAAAGAACCATCATGAAGACAGCATCCACTCCTCCATGCTCAGCATCACCCCGACGCACGAGGACATGGCAACCAAAGCAGAGCTCAACAGGCATGTGGCCTTCATAGACCCCAAGGACCTGCAGGGACAGAACGGAAAGGTGAATCCTAACGGAGAGGAAGAAGTGGATGAGGAGGCCATGAAGGGAAAAGGAAAACGGAAGAAATCACTGGCAGACTCGATTAGTTCGGTCTTTTCTGATACTCCCATTGTAGTCTGAGGGAGGATGTGTATTTTTGGCTAGAGACAGTTCTTTGTTGTGGCTTTCTCGGATAAAGAGACTGAAGTACACAGTTTGCCATCCTCAGTCTTTGGCTGTTTCTACAAAACCTTTCCAGCATTTTAATCTGTAGCACTTAAGTATATACTGTGAAAAGGTCTTGCCATATTAGTGGAATCTAAACTTGGAGTGTTTAGATGTTCCTGTGAGTTTAAGCCCACTAAGTGTGACTAGAGGTAGTCTGGGTGAATAACAAATGCATTTTGCGATTTCTCAGTGATCAAGCTAGGAAGCTAGGTTGACAGACATTAGAACATTAATACATCCTCTATATAATCACATTATAAGCATGAGCTTTGCAGACTGCTAATGTTAAGAATATAGCACTGAATGAAGCCCTTGTAGCTAATCATATTTACCACGTTTTATGCTAACTGACCAATCTTACCACTTTATGTGAAGCCATATGCAGCTGGTCACTGCAAGGGAAAGCAATGTACAATAGCATTTGAGAGTAGTCACAGGAAAATGATGGAAAAGTATCTGTTTTTTATGGAACATTAGAAGTTGTTTGGAATGAAAGTCAAACAGTAAACTGAGCATTAATGGTCACTTACATGAAACTTCCTCCGCCTATACAGTATATGGCAATGGAAAAAATAATATCCTGGTAAAACGTAAATGGCTGTTTGAATCTAGACTCTTTAAGTCCAATTTCTTAAGTTTAAATATTGGATACCAATATAAAACAAAACTGTAAGAACTTACACAGTTCCATTTATATGAAACTATAATACAGCAGTTTTTCAATGTATTACCCCTCGCATAAAAAATGCAGAACACATGCATTTTCAGCCGCTTGAGCTCATCTGTCATGACAACCAGGGAGTGACATATAACCAAAATGCTAATGCAATCTTTTAATAGAATAACATGTCCCATCTGCCTGAACTCTCATCTCTAAAACAATGATGATTTGAGCTTGGATTCAACAGCCAAAACAGTTTTGGATACTTAGACCTCTTCTCACCCTGCGTTCATTTGCGCTTGTGGTGGTTGGAGTCAGTGCTGACTCATCCATTGTCAGAATGGAAGTCATTTTTTAAGCCCTTGAAGTGCGGAGGTAACCTTCATCAGATAAAAAGCCAAAGGCTGAGGGATTTTTTTAATTATTTTTTAACCTCGAACCATTATAATTTGAATACATTTTCTGAATGGATTAAAAATCAAGTTTGAAGTTTGAGTGATTAGCCGAATGTTCTCCTCATGTTCTGGTATTCTAAATTATTACTACAGGCATACAGCAGTGATCTCTCAGAGACCAGTATTATATTTGCATATACAATGGCGTAGGAACCTAAAGAGACTGCTACGAATCATAATGTAATGCGTAAAGCTCGCTGGCTGTGCTCAAGGAAGATGTGACTAGATCCATTCCAAGCAGATATCAACATTGTCCTGGTGGACTGTTCTAGAACACCTGTCAATGATGTTAGAAAACCAGACGTGGAACTCTTACTTCTGGGAATGGCACTTCTATTCTTCTGTTACTGGAAAGAAATCAGAATCATCTCACATGTTAACCATAACCACATATTTATAACGGGGTCTGGTTGGAATCAACTGGAGCAATCTTAGTTTCCTCCGGCCTCTTTCCCTAGTAACATCGTAAACACATCCTGTTTTGTGAACGAGGGAGTGGGTGAAGCTATTAAATGTTTGATAGGTGGATGAACTCACAAACAGTATTATCTCAGGGAGAGGGAATGACAGATAATAGCAGCTATGGCAGACTGCAGTCATGGGCAGTTACGGTCTCTTACACGTCTCTCTGCAATCCAAAATTAGTGTGCAGAGGAGGGAAAGGCCTTACCATCACGAGTGCTGTGGGAGGAGGCCTGAGATCTCTGTGGTTCGCAAAGAGACAGAAAAGCCAAATGCTCCCCCTAAAACCACATCCAGCAGCTTTTCGCCCCTGTTGTGTGTGTTCTTCTTAACTGTGTGTCCTTGGCTATTTTGCTACGAGCAGAGTTCTTGTGAAAGTACACTGTTCATTACTCACCATTTAACAGTAGGCTACATCTGTGCTTTTGTCTGTGCAAACAGTGTTTGTTTTTACAGTGTTTATGAGATCGTGTCATTTTAGGTAGCTTTTTTCCCCTTGAGGTTCCAAAGAGACTGAATTAATTCCTTATTCTTCTGTGTATTGTTGTTCCTATACAGTTGTCTAGATTCCACTTGTGACATTGGTAAACCTATTTTAATGACACTGACTGTAAAGGTCTTTCTCTGTCATGTATTTTGAAATCTGATCATCTATTTGTCTATTATATGTTGTTATTTAGGCACATAAATTAAGTTTTTTTTTATGTCAGTAAATTAAATCTCAAGAAGAATCACAGACTGTATCTAAGTCCAAAACTCTGTTGCATTAATTAGAAAATTCAACTTCAAGTCAACGTGAATTGCCGATCACAGCCCATTTTACTTTTTTAATCAGATGTACTGCATATCTGAGTGAAACGTGATATTCAACAAGAAAAAATGGGGCGGGAAATTGATTGGATTGTGAAAAGTGAGCATTAAAAACCAGAATGTAGCCAGACTGAATGCAAGTTTGATGAATAAAATGCCTGAATAGCTCTGGCTATTGGTTAACATATCCAATATCCAAAAAAAAAAAAAGGCAAAAAGTAATTTCAGGAAAAGCGCAAGTTATTTTAATTACATGTTGACTTGCAGCCTCTCAGAATGTCAAAATAGACAATAATAAAAGCACTTGTGCAAATGTTAAGTCTCAAAACTGTCCTATATTAGCTTTAGTACCAGTTTAAAGGCCCGTTCACAACAAGGATGATTACTATAATAAGAAAGCTGTAATACTCATTCTAATTCTTTGAGAGTAGTGGAGTCCAAACCACAACTTTAACGATAATGGCACAGAGGAACGATATGGTTGGAATTTCACTTTTTTCCACACAACTTTGAAAAACCTGAGCATTTAAAGTGGCAAATGCAGTGTAAAAACTGCAGCGTATACCTAATATGTGGACAGTAATATATTTATTGTTACAGTAATGATTTTTGATATGAACGGCCTTAAAAATTTGGTGCTAAAGGTATGTGGTACTAGGGACTAGTCCCTTCTGTTCTTTACTAGCATTTAGAATCTTAAAACTCTAGATTAACAGAATTCAAAATAAGTAACAATATCAACAGCATTTGATAATTAGTTGTGACCAAGTCTAGTTCTTCTAGATTTGAGTACACACAAAAAAAACATAAAAACAGAAGTAGACGAGCACAAATGTACTAGAATCTCAGTAATGCAAATATAGCTGTACCAGTTCTTAGTAAGCAAGCATCATGATATACAATACATACTGCTAAAAACTGTGAACCCTAAATGGTTTGAGATCTAAAGTCTCAGTCATCATTACTAGTGTCTGAAAGCGAGAATAGAAATGTTGTCAGGTCCAGTATTAGAGATAGAGGCCTTACTGTAAAAGCTTATTTAGTCTGAATGTCAAAAACGAGACTGATGAGTGCCGGGTGGTGCGGATCCCTGTCCTAGAGTAAAACGGACTGCTCGATGATAATCCAGAAACTGATTCTCTATCAGCAGTCCTCCCACATGGAAGTTTACCTATGAGAAGTATTATTTATCAATAATATAATAGTGAATAAAAAATGAAATTGACTGTTTTTGATTATTTTTTTATGCTTTCCGTCTAATCCGACATACAGAAACGTGTTAGTTTACATTTAGCTGACACTATTTATCCAAAGCAACTTGTAGTTGCATGAACCATTAGTTTCCACAATAACCACATTATTATATACAGAATCTTTGAAATGAGCACTTTAATAAGGGATCAGCTATATTTAAAGATATACAGGAGATTTATTATTGCTATGGTTATATTAATGGACTAGTCTAAATTAAATACTTGTTAAATTGACAACGTGCCACAAATACAGATTTTTATTTAACCCAAAATAGTCTTTTAAAGCTGCACTCACTAGGTTCGTTCTACAATGACATCTGTAAACTAAACTTTGCAGCATCCATGCTGAAGTACACAACCACTGTTCTATCATCCAGCACAACAAACAAAAAATGACCCTTTGGCCTGTCTGAGTAAAATGGAGGTATCTAGCAGTTTAGTGTCATCTAGTGGTGAGATGACGCAGCTCAATTCATAAAAAGCAAGACAAAAGAAACGTGTTGGCATATTTATTTCCGAGTCCATTATCTGGGAGTCCGTTTAGCAGCATATGGAAGGTCTTGAGGTATTTCTATATTCATTTGCAGGTCATTCACAAATACATTCATTCACATAGAAATCCAGTATACAAAACACAGACACACACATACATATATACTGATACGTCCTCCTACAGTGAACTTCAAACACTTTCACCATCCTGTGCATAAAGTCTGTAGCAAATACATGGCAGTAAGCCTGTGCTTCTGGAGGAGTTTAAGGCAGACTCCCTCAGTGAAGAAGATTTGGCTGTTGGGAGAAAAGAAGAGCAGATGGTCAGGAAAAGGATCTAAATTCAGAGCCGAGACTCAACCACTGTGCTGAATTAAACCTTGATGATTCATCTTAACAGACTATCAATCTGTGACTTCCTATACTTGTTGTTCTAACACTGTGCATTCTTATCCTTTAAGTGTTTAAAAAGTAAGCGTTGCCAGTTTTCTTCAATAACTTTAATGCATTTCCTTTCCCTAACAAGAGGATTACATGTCTACCAAGAGCTGCTTGAGCTTCCAGACCCCTACACATTGGTCGTATTAGGTTATTATTTAACACATCACTTAAAGGTGCACTCAGTATTTTCATCATTAAAGTGTTTTACGCCTAATGAAATCAATAGGACTTTTAAAATCATGCCACATTTTAAAAACACTCACATTAGATGAATCATATTGCCTAAAAGCAATTTAAATTTGGGTAGTTAAAAAAAAAAAAAAATCAACAAACAAATAAATACTACAGAAACAAAAAACAGGGGGAAAAGAATTTGATTTTGTAAAGGAAAATGTATAGTTTTAGATACTGTAACAGGCCACTATTTCTTCAGTTTTTCACATGTACAAAAATTATGATAATATAGAAATTAAACAAATCATTTACATAAAAGATGATAAAATGCTGTTTAAAGTATGCTTTAAATGTTTTAAATACATTCAGAAACAACAAAATATAAGTTTCACCCCTCCAGTGTTGTTATTGTTAAACTATTAAAATCGTTTTTAGAAACTGAAATTAAAAGCTGAAATAAAAAGATAAATATTAGATTTAAAATATTAATGTAAAAAAACTTGCCTTGACAACTGACTGAAATAATAAGTTTAAGTACTAAAAATTGCTAGAACTTAAAATTAAAAAGCTATATAGAAATATTTAGCAAACCCTAATTAGCACATAACAAAATTACTCAAACTTAAGCTAAATTTAAAATGAAAACTGAAAATTGAAAAATAAAACCCAATTCAAAATATGAATAAATACTATAGTATTTACAATAATTCATATTTAGGGACATCCTTTAAGACAAAGGAACCCAATAATATAATGAGAGATGCTTTTTTAGATTAGATTTCATCTAAATTATTCATGAAATGAGATTCTTATGAGTTATTAAACACTGAAGAAATACTAGAGAAGGCTTTATCTCCATATTTCTCCCAAAACAGTATGATAAAATTGAGACATACTGAGAGAGTTCATCATTGATAATGTCACTAAATGTCCAAGACAACATATTTGCCAATGCAACAAATAAACAACAACAACAACAAAAAAAACAATACTGAATGCATCTTCAGTTAAACTACTGAAAAACAAACCTTCTGTGCACCTAGTTTCTTTGGCAGATTATGGGAGGTTGGTGCTGGTCTGCCATCCCCACCCCATGACACCAGGCTGGAGTGAGTTTGGGAGAAAGAGGAGAGGGTATTGGATTTAGGGGCACATGAAGTGTTTTTGAGGGGAGAGGCATCGCTGGTCTTACGTTTCCTGCCAGGCCCTTTATGTTCGTACCCAACAGCCCTTTGATTGAGCCCTGAGGCCCCTCCCTTATCTGACTCTGGGGAGGGAGAGGGGGAGATGTGGGTGTGGCTTTGCTTAATCAGCACCTTCATTTCAGGTTGGTGTGTGCTCCTGCCAGCTGAGTGTGTGCCATTAAACAGGCCATGTGGTGAAGAAATCATAGTTCTGTTCAAGGAGGACTGGGGGAGAAATAGGATTTTGGACTGTTCAGGTGAGTCCTTGTCCTTGTGAAATTTCCACTGCTTACTGGCTGTGGGACTCTCCTGAAGCTCCCTGAAACCCACTTGCAAAGCCTGTTTCTGTTTGCTGGTCCGACCTGCACGGTTACGGGGCCGGGTGGGGCCTGAGTTCGTCTGGGCTTTCGTTGGTAGTTTGGAGGCGGCTGTTAGGTTAGTGGGCTCTGATTGTCCTGAGATGCTTGTCCTGAGAGTAGAGGCACTGCGGATGGGTACGGAGCTGCGCGTGGCATCATGGGAATTGTAGTTGTTTGTGGTGACTAGGGGTTGATGAGAGCATAGTTCTGACACCTGAGGGATTTTCCTACAGACATGAGATATACTTACAACAAACAAAATTCACAGGCAAATTAAAAAAAAAATCCATTCTTGCACAAATACATTAAAAAAACAACTATTTTGTCATTTAAGAAATTAAAGCAAATAAATGAATATAAAATAATTTTAAAATAACTATTATTAGTGTTTAACAATAGTAACAGATTAATTAAATATTAAACAAATCTGAAAATTATTATTATTTTTTTTTAATCAATTTGTTATACTGATAATATATTTGTAATGAAAAATAATTGAAGTAGAAAAAGATCAAATAAAACAAACAAAAAAGTAGAAATGTTGCCATGGAAACTACCTGAAATAAGTTTAAGTAATAAAATGAAACTCAAATAAAATAAATAAAAGCTATATAGAAACATTAAAATAAGCAGATTACTAAAACTTAAACTAAAAACATAAAAATTCTAATTCAAAAGCTAATTCTAAATATTAATAAATACTACTATTTGTTTACTTTATTTGTTATGCTGATCATATTTATATATTAAAAAATCATTGCATTAAATAAGGAAAATATAAAAATATAAGGATAATAGTGGTCTCAGACTTCTGGAGCCCATTGCATTTATTCAATCAGCTAAATGTTGAAAACACTTATTCAACATTAATACGCTTTATGTAAAATATCTTACTTCCATAGATAAGTGCTGAGGTGCTGCTCCATCATGACACTGAAAGCTGACCGTAGGTGGAGCAACCTTCGGTCAAACGCTAACACACTACGGCCAAGTACACGTGCCCCGAAGGTGCAAAGCTAGAAGAACGTGAGAGAGGAGACAAACAAGGGTTCATTTTACTACAAATGGGACATTATTAGCTGAAACTGTATTTTTGTAACTTTTATTATGAATATTATCTCACATTAAGATTTGTAGGGATTTTTTGCACTTAGTTTAAAAACTGCTTACATTTTAATATGAAAAAAAATACTTACACCCAGGGGTTTAGGGTGCAAGGTGCTTGCTGGTAAATGAGCAAAGTCCTCACGGTTCTCCCCGTCACTCTCCTCACTGGAGAGACTGGCTGAGAGAGGCTCCACCTCCTCTGAAGGATTCATGGACCTGTAAACACACACATTCAGATAAATGTCCTGTCTAAGTGTCAGATAAGCTTGAATGCATCTGTCTCCATTATTTAAATCACAGAATGCAGAACTATAGACCTGAGAATAGAAGAGTTAGTTATTTGGCATTTGGTCTCATGGTGGGCAGAGCCTCCATCGGGAACTTCTCTGGGCAAAGGGGGGCGCTCTCGAGGCTTTGAGCTCATCTTCAGCTCCATTACAAGCTGGTCAAAAGGTTTCCCCCTCCCTACCACCTGGCGGCGCTGATGGATGGAATGAATCTGCAGTAGAGGCGATAACATAGAAACACCAGCAAGAGTTTAACACTTTGGTCCAAAATCACTGAAATGTTTATGCTGGTGTACTTGTTTCTGTATATTGACTATATGCTCACATTACAAGTCAGCAGTCTGGTGCACAGTTTCTTTCTCTCGGGATCCATCACCCCACAGTGCTTGTCCAAGTCACATTCTTTCTCTGAAATAAACAAATCGGTTTCAACAAGAGAAAACATTTGAACGCCCCGCCCCGCCCCCCCCAATAAAAAGTGGATTTAAAATGTATTTTAAGATTAATTTTAGACTGCCTGCCAACAAAATCATGAATATTTGAAATATCATCCATGTTAATGTACGGTATGTCTGAAATACTAACAAACTCATAGACACAAGAAGATTTTTTGTTTCCCATTATGAGTTGCAGCAGAGACTTACTAAGGACTTTCTTGTAGGTTCTGCTGTGTGTTCTTGGTCCGTGCGGGTGAGTGTGTGAGTCCAAACTCTTCTGAATTGTTTTCTCGACAGATGGGGCTGCTTTTTTTGGTGGCATGGGCAAATGTAGAGGTTTTGGAGGGGTTTCATGGGAAACTTTATCCACCTGCTGAAGACTAGAACACAACACTGGAATGAAACTACACTGGAATAAACAGTAGACGCGTAAGATCA